CAAGGGTGGCCCCTTGGGCGGAGGCCGGAAGGGCAAGCAGCTCGTCGGGCTTGAAGTGTTGCTCCTGAGCTGAGTGAGACCCAAAGGCCGATCAACCTATGGTTCTAGCCTTTGATTTTCAGGACAGAAATCTCGTTGTGAAGAGGTTTTGGGTCTTGCAGGGGGTCGTCTAACAGTCTAACATCACTTCGAGCGGCTCCAGAGTTGGTTAACGAAGGCTTGTGCAGTCTGATTTGCTGCTTGCACAAGCAGCTGTCTGCAATTTGGGTGCTGGGGTCGAGGGAGTTGGAAATCTTGCGATTGCCCTGGATCCTGCTACGATTTCGTGATGCCGAAGCGCCGATAAGCCGATCCTCTTCATGACAAAGAGGAATGCCTGTCGCCTCTGCAACCAGATTGGACACCACTTGCACCTCAACCTGTCAGGCATGGGTGGCAAAGGCATGGGACCACCTTTGGGTGGAGGTCTCTTGCCACATTGTGTCTTCACGCGAGGCGATAAGAAGAGGCTGCTTGTAGCTAGGCCGCTGTTTGTTTGTGGGTGAGTGTGAATTGGGTGGTCTGCCGTCTTGTCATGCTTCAATGAACCTAACCACGCCCCACCGCAGATGTCTGCCAGTGCAAGCATGTGATCGAGCAGCTCTTCTGTGCATGTGTGACATTCCATGAGCACCTACATGAACCACGGGTTACTGGCAGACGCCAGTTCCACACTGCAACGACTTCGAGGCTTCCCAACAACTCCTGAAGCCTGACTCCAAAGCCTCGCTCCCGAACCGCCAACCTCGACCACAACTCCTCACGACCTTTGGTTTACTGACCACGGACCCTGGACCCAGGTTTGGGCATGGGCGGCGGTATGGCCGGCCCAGGGCCGGGCATGGGCGGTATGGGCGGCATGGGTGGCATGGGTGGGGCCCTTACTGTGGTGAGAGATGGCTTGAGAAGTTCGGGCTTTGAGGCGACATGCCATTGGCAAGGCCGTAGAGGTTCCAATACAAGTTAATACAAGTTACTTCACCACGAGAAGAATGGGTCTAAGTGACTAAGATAGTGTTGGGTGATGTGTGGCGTTCCGTGGTGTAGAAATGATCCAGAGCCAGTGTTACAGCACGACTTGTAACGCCTACTACTAAGCCGCCTGCTGCTACTGCTGCTTCTGATGCTGCCAAGCACAATAGTGTTTGCTGCTTCCCCGCTGGCCCAGGACCCGGCATGGGGCCGATGGGCGGCAAGGGCATTGGCCCGATGGGCGGCCCCGGCCTGCGCCTGAGAGCTGCGTCTCACACCAACCGACCTGGACTGCTGCCAGCATATCTCTTTAGGACTTTAGGAGGTGTGCACAACAACCCTGACTTTAAACATGCTGTTGCAGGAGTGGCGAAATCCAAACCATTCCGGCCAACCAGAAGCTTTACTCTGGACTACCTACGGTATGGTAAGAAGTACCACGGCTGTACTGGAAACGGACCACCATGACTGTAATCAAAATGGTCGTCATTGTGGAGTCCCAAGTCTTGTTCATGGTTTTGAAGCGGCTGGTCTTCATTCATTTCGCTACCCTGTGCTTGATCTCATCGCAGCATCCTGTCCTGGTTCGTGCGTTCGTGTGATGCCCTGTTCTTTCCGGATTGCTCAAGTGCCTGATGCCTGTTTACAAGGACACTGTTGCGACGGCCGTAAGCGGCGACTAGATCCTGCTACCTAACACGTGTCTCAAAAGGCCATGGAGGCACCAAATTGGACTGTTTAGAAGTGCAATCTAGAAGACTCTTCGGGATGGAGCTGCAAGCTGCTCTCCAGCGACGCCGCGACATGGAGACTGGAGCTATTTGGGCTTCGCAAATCACGGAGGAGCATCCCGTCATTTGGCTTGGGACTGGGACAGATGCTTCGAATAAGGGCCAACTGCAAAGGCACTCGGTGCAGAGGGTTTTGAATGTGGCGGACGATGTGCCGTGCTTCTTTCTCGATGATCCAGATATCCAGTACTGCAGGCTGGACATCACCGATTTTGGTGGCGATGCTGGGATTTCGAGGGCTTTTACAAAGGCCATCGACTTCGTTCGAGAGGCTCCTCAGGGCGTAGCGACCTTGGTGCATTGCGCAAACGGCTCGAATCGTAGCCCGACTGTTGTCGTCGCCCTGATGATGGCCCTGTGCGGAATGACTTTGAGGGAGGCATGGGATCTTGTCAAGTCGAAGCGAAGTGCCATGCTTCCTTTGCACGACAACATCAACGAGCTCGTGCGCTGGGAGATTGAGCAGACAGGACAAAGCACGGCTTCTGAAAGCGAGCTCGTGTCTGGAGATGGTCGCAGACAGCCCAGAAAAACTAACTGCCGAACCTGGATTGTTCTTTTATGCTCTTCTCGGCCCTTGCTGCTCGAGTGATACTGTTATCCCTGTTATGTAAGGTAGTCATGGTGTGGCATAGGTGTTGACTTAGCAGAAGTCCTTTTAGACTCCATTGACAGCTCCCTGGCCCTAGCCCATCTCTCAGACTTGGAGGCCGCAGCTCGCGAAGAGTCGTGAGCTGCGGCGACGCCCCTCCCCCCCACCGCCATCAGCGTCCCTAGACCTCAAAGCTCAGCTCCCGAGGTCCTGGCATGGGCAAAGGCATGGGCCCACCCATGGGAGGTGGTATGGGGCCGTGGCCTCGGATTCTCGAGGAAGGAAGGAAGGAAGGAAGGATGGAAGGAAGCAAGGAAGCAAGGAATGACGGAAGGAAGGAGTTGCTGGCTGTTGTGGTCACGTGCTGTTTTGAGCAGCAAGCGGGTCGGAAGGCCTTAGGAACGACATGAAGTGGCCTATGTCGGCCCTTGTAGCCACATGTCCAGAGTCCCACTACATTGGTCGTGATTCTGCGCCTTGAGGGACTACCTAACTCTCCATTCCCGTGATGGCATCAGGTTTTGCTTTTCGTTTTGGAGCTCTGGACTGCACCCTTCTGCACCTCCTTCCCTTAGCTGCATGTTCACCGGCAGTCGAGGATGGGCGGCAAAGGCATGGGTGGAGGCTGTGGCCCGGGACTTATGTCAGTGCAGATTGTCGTTGCTCGCTGGCGACTAGCGCTTTGGTGCTGGCCCTCTCCCTTGGCTAACACGAAGAATCGGCTCCAGACCTGAAGGCAAGACTTCAACATCTACCCGGCATACCACGAAGTATGCATGGCAGTTCATTCTCGGGGTTCGAAGTTTCCAGTCAGACCTGTTCCAGGGATCGCAACTGTGTTGCGGATTCCGGAGTCTGGCGAGGGTATTCTCACGGGGCAGTGGTGGGGGAGAAGTCCGGATTCCAGACGTTAACCGGCTCGCTCCCCGAAGCCCCAAATTCAAAGCCCTTCTGCTCAGGTATGGGAATGCAGAACATGCCCAAGTCGACAGGCGGCTTAATGCCTGGACAGCAGCCTGCAGGACGGTGATTTGGAGGTTATCTGAAACAAAGGGTTGTTGAGTAAGGCCAGATTCGTGTCGGGTCCCCCAATCAAGCAAAGTTTGCTCGTTATTGAGACCCGGAAAAGAAAAGTTGTTCCGGCCTGTTTTGTGTGTAGACCATTGCGATGCAACTATTAATACTCGTATGACTATATTGTCACTACTCATTACTATGATAGACTAATCCGGAAAAAAAACATTTTTCAATCACTGTTTAGTTTGGGGGGTGGCAACCGCCGCCCCCACCCCCTTCTCATCTGGTCCAGCACAGGAACCCCCCTCACACTAATCAGGCCTTCACAGTACTGGTTGAGGCACACTTGGGGTTTGCCGCCTTGCGATTTCGGCAGTGTGCTTCGGTGCTTAGGAGCGGTTGAATTTGCACATGAACCTTAACTCGGTTCAACGAACTTTAGAAGGGTGTGGACGAAGGATTTCTAGGCTTTGGGGTGTTCGTTGGAGTCCTGAGGGGCAGCTGAGGCTGACCTTCAGTCGATCTTTGAGTCTCTGTCTCTCTGAGTGTGTATGCACGGGTGTGTGCCCCGTCGAACATTCACTGAGAACAAGGTTAGACATACAAGTAAGTGGCTCAGACATGGATGTTCTGTCCCTCGTGAACTCAAGAGATTCGCATGTTCAGAGGCCGTGAATTTCCCCACATCGCCAGGACTCGGGATGCGCCCACCAGGACAAATGGGCGGCTACTACTAGTCTAAGAAGGCGTCCGCCGTGGACCAACTGCATAGCACGTTTTTGGTGTATGAGCCTAGACCATTTCCTCCCAGAGATGTCCACGGAGATACCTTCTAATTTGAGCACTTCTCATGTCATGCTGTACAATCACATGCTTCGCATTAGTAGTGGGTGCATATATTGGCGAGATTTGGGGAGTCTTCAGAGAGCTCACGAAACAAAAACACCTCTCATCTCTCGACATTCTAAAGTTGTAACGTCGTTGAGTTGAGCTAATGCACGGCATGTACCAGCCTGATGGTTGCAAGGTCCCACCATCCACGAGTGCATAATGCTGAGTCGCTGCAGCGATTGCCGCAGCTGCTGCCACCCACGACAGGGCCAACAGATCTCGCGAGATTTTGGCTTCAATGTGAGATGGAAGCACACCCAAAATACTGCTGTGCCACAGGTCCGCTCGTGCGATTTTAGTATCACGGTCGTGAACATGCCAAGCACCAAGCAGCCTTCACTTATCAACGAATGTATGTCTCCTGTTGACCGTTGGTTCCTCGAAGCTTCTTGTTGGCCCGTGGTCATCCCGCAGAGGTCTCAAGGGCAGAGGTCTGCATAGCTCTCGCTCTAGGCCACGTCTCATGCGCAAGCATGGTTCTCGTTAGGCGCCAAGACCCGGCCAGAGACCCCGTGGCCGAGGAGATCCCAAACCCCGAATTCCGCACCTTCTTCCCTCAGCCCCACACGCAAAGCAGCTGTCAAGCTCATACTCTGGAAGCTGGGGCCCATGTTTCTCTACATGCAGACCTTCCTAGCTGTGGACATTGAGACATCGACTTCTTGGGGTTTAGGACGACTATCCAAAGCTTCGAAGCCATGCCACCGCCCAACGAGTCAATGTCGTTGTCGTACGTGGAGCGGTCGGTGCCTGGCCATGCACAAGTATGTGTGCAGCCGACTTTTGCCAGTCTATCCGGTGCCAGCAGAATGCGATGTTAAGTGTGTATATTGAATCCAGGTAGTTCTGATCTGACGGGTTGTATCATGATCGCTTATCAAGACTGTCATGCATGTCAATGTGCTTGAGCCGTGTATGAATATACGCAAAATATGTCACTCAACGTTCTCCTTGACGGGCACTGCCTCAGGCCCCGAGCAAGCGCAACGACAAAGTTCAGGCTTTCAACCGTGGCAAAGAAGCTGCGTTTCCTTTCTGCAGAATCAGTATGATGTCGACGAGTCGACGGCAATCTGCAAATCGCATGCTACTGCGCTGTCGTCCTTGTGAAGTCTTCTGGAAAGCAACTGTCACGTTGTTGAGACACGATCTAGCGCATGCCGAAGAATCTTCGGAAGTAGGGGTATCGGAGTATCATTTTGGGTTCATTCATTCTTGAGGTAGATCGCGATGTCCAGGCTTCTCTGTAGAAACGCACATCTCTGGAAGACGCCGAGACCTGCCATTGCACAGGTACAGTGCAAAAGGAAGTAACAGTAGAAGCACGGGGCCTTGTTAGCCTCTACTCAGGCCCAGTGCGAAGTAGCCCAACCCCTCGGGTCCTGGGCCGCCCTGGGCCCTCGAGCCTACATGTCTTGCATCCCGAGCTTGCACGCGAGGTTTGCGGATGCCTTGGAGTTCTGCCGGCAAGGTCTGGGAATCCTCGGCGAGGAAGGGTTCGCAGCTCCAGGGCTCGTCGCACGTGCAGAGTCTCAGGGTAGGAGTCTGGCTTATTATGTGCTCACTTAAAGAGAAATCCAAACAAGTTGCCAGGTTTGTGAGTGTGATTAGCACACAGTCTGTCTACTGTCTTTGAGAAGGCATCGAAACAGATTTTGTCTGCTGCTAGGAGATCCTTCTGAGCGTCCGTTCAGAGATGCAGTCAACTGCGGAGCAGATCAGGCTTGCCTACAAGATTGACGGTAAGATAAACGTACGTTTCATGTAGGTCTATCTGTACACTGTATAAGTGTGTAAGACTTGCTGATACAAAGAGATCCCCTCTTCAATCGTACGTGAGAGACGCTCTGGTGCCACTTATTTTGGATGTCACTTGCTTGGTCATACAGCGAGCTTGGTCTGTGTATGCATATGCATTCATATGTTATGCGTGTTTATGTGTATCTACCTCCCCTATCTATCTATCTATCTATCTATCCATCTATCTGACTATGGATCTGGCTATACATATCTCTCTATCTACCCACCTGTCTCACTATCTGACTGTCTCTCTATCCTATCCTGTCCTTATCCCAGCTCACCTTTTCTCACCGTAGCTCACCTTATCTAATCGATCTACCTATGAGTTTCTCTCCATCGATCTATCTGTCTAGAAGAAATCGCAGGTCTGGCCTGTGCCCGCATGACATAAACGGTTAATCGAATCCAGCGACCAGCGATCCCTGAAGCCGACGCATTCAGAACCATGAAGCATAAGTCGATGACAACTCGCGCGAAGGCTGGAGGTGGCTGAAGCGGTGGAGTCGAACCAGCTCAGTGTCTCTTCGAACTTGGAGCTGCTGCCGCTTTTCTGACAGTTGCAATCCTTTCGGGGAGTTATTTGGCAGGATCAATTTCGGTGCCTACGACTTGCAGTATCGAGTTTCAAGTTTACTTCTTGTAGAGTTATACCAACAAATGTTCAGTAGCACGCTTGCTTGAGGTAGTCGGGATGGGATGAATGTGCTGCTCGCACTTGGACGAGCAGGTAAGCTGTTTTGGCAACTAATGGGGTGTCGGGGTACGTTCGTACTTGAATTATGCAGGAGAGCAGGAGAAGCACAATGCTAATGCTAATGATCGTGGCACCGATATTGGATGCGGATCTTGCCAACATCTCTTAAGAGTGAGGTGCATGCAGGGCTTCGAGTGACATGCGTTTCCTGCTTCTGCATGGTTGTTCTGCTGCATGACCGTCGACGTCGGAGTTTTGGGCTCCTGAGGTCCCTTCACGTTTGGTTCCTCTTTTGCCTGTAGTCTTTAGTCGCACGTGTTGGCGGTTTGGTCGTCCTTTGTGTTAGCAGACGATGCTGAACCACTTTCCAGACCGAAAGTCAGCCATTTTCTTCAGACCAGTTCGTACTAATACAAGGACTATACCGTACTGGCGTAGGCACCATTCGTCCGGGTAGCGGGTAAGTTCAGCATTTGTTTTGTCGGTTTCGTCTGTATGTCAAGCTTCACTACGAATGCAGGAGAGTCTGGATAATTACTTTAACTCCGGCTGAGGCACACGCGCGTGCAGAGCCTGGCCAACAGTGAGAATACGAAGCAGGCGCCGAACCTCGTGGGATCCTCCTCGATCCGAATCTCACAGTCAGATCTGGCATTCCCAAAATATCCATATTGCCGAGAAATGCTTCAAGTCGATTGGTGCATGCGGTTGCCGCTAGCAGCGACGCAGATGCTTCGGATATCTGTGCCAGTGTATGTGGCATACGGTGCCGGTCTGTTTCTAACCTTCCAGTCGAAACTGGAAAGCGGATTATCCTGTCGACTCGGGGCTCTTCAGAGTGCCGCCTGGAGAAGCTCCAAAGCCCCGTCTAGTCAAGATCGCAGGCGCACTCCCACGAAAGTCGCGGCTTCGATCAGAATGAGGCGAGTCGCAAGCTTGTGATGCGCCGGGAGGAGACGCATCAGCAGCTTTCGCTTGTGAATGCCGGTCGTAAAGAGACAAGTGGAAGCTTGCATTCGATATATTACACGGTATCCGTACTTGACATGTAGAACATAAACTATAGGAGCAGAACCGTCCAAAACGTAGGCCTACCGTAAGCCGTAAGCTCAACAGAAACCCTTGCATGGATGTAGCTGACATGTATTTTTGCTAGTTCGTGGGTCTTCAGCCGCTCAGTCGCATCGGGCATCAGTTCCTTGATCCTTGCTTGTCGATATTTTGTTGGTCGCATTACAGAGCTCATGCCGTGAACTTCTGGGATATAGTATCGAGTCCTAGCTTCCCTTTGTTCCTAAAACCCTGCGAAGAGGAGCAAATTATGCAGATCCATGAGCAGCTATCTCGGATGCTGGAGCATTTCAGCAAAGTCCAGAAGACCCTTAGCTGCCTGCGGTCTGAGGTAGGCAGGCTTGGCGCCATGACCGCTTGACCGAACTTATGCCCGAAGTTCAGCCGTACTGGACAGACAAGACAGAGGGCTCAACGTCGATACCACGCTTTCAAGTCACAGACGTGTACGGGAAGTCCATGCTAGAACGTTGCAGAAGATGCCGAGGAAAAGCGACATGGACCTTTGCATGCAGCACCTGGCGGGCAAAATCGACGTCCAGAAGATGCTGGATGTGCAGGGCTGCAATAAACAAGGTATCGAGGTCCGTCCGTAGTGGGTGGAGTGGTGGACAGGCATTGGTGGAACAAGACGAGCATTTGCAGCCGTCTTTCGGTTTGCCTGGAGATTGAATTACTGCAGGGATATCAGTGGAAAACAGTGTGCGGAATCTTGCGACGAGCCCAGCTGTGTAGCCCAGAAGTAACAAAGATTAGGGCAAATTCTTGACATTCGCAATGCTGCGGCTTCGTACCTCCAATGTTGTTCGAGTTTCATTCAAGGTCGCCTCACACTGAAAAGATGATCAGCATGCCCTTGACAGACCCAGAAAGCCCAGAGACAGCATTATCACATCTCGTAAGCAAGCTAGGAAGCCCCAGGTCATGACAGGAGCGGGTTACTCGGGTCTCTTGAGGTGCAAACCATGAATCTAATGCAAAAGATTCGGGAGATCCAGCTCAACAGCCCGGACCTTTCCATGACCCTCCAGGCTCGGCTGAGTCCCGTGCGTTTGGCATCGCAGTGATGTGGGTGGTGTATCTTGTTGATGTGCGGTGTGGCTGGTGTTTGATTCGCCGCAGTTGTAGTTGCCGTCGTTGTTGCTATGGTCGTAGTCGCAGCAGTACAAGCGGTGGCGGTGGCGGTGGTGGTGGTAGTAGGAGTAGTAGGAGTAGTAGGAGTAGTAGGAGTAGTAGGAGTAGTGGGAGTAGTAGTACTAGTAGTAGTAGTAGTAGTAGTAGTAGGAGTAGCAGTAGCAGTAGTAGTAGCAGTAGTGGTAGT